TGCCTGCCTCCGAACCCGCGGGGCTTGGGACTGCAGGCTGCCTGAGCACAGAAGTCTGATCCAGAAAGCTCCATTCCGCGACTGAAAAACCAAGAGCAGCCTTCGCGGAGGGCACACGCGACCGCCGGCGCTCCCACGCGGGTCAGAGCAGAACTGCGCCCACCAGGCTGAAGGGGTCGCTGCTGCTCCAGACCTTGGACGCCAGGTCTTCTGAGGCCCCTGGTGTAGATTCATATCACTGGTCTTAAGCCAGATGCATCGATTGTCTGCACTACCCAGGGAATGTAAGATTATGTATGGCAGAGATTCAACAAGTTTGTGGGAAGATTCCACAATCGTTTCATTCTTTTTGTCGGTGAACTTTTTTAAGCCCTTTCATGTGTGTCCCCGCATAGAACTGGGCTCCCTGAGGGTCTCAATGATGAGTGATGAGTTCTTGGAAGATCACCCAGCCCTCCTATGTGTGTCTGTGTGTGTATCCACATAGAACTGGGCTCCCTGAGGGTCTCAGTGATGAACTTGTGGAAGATCACCGGACCTTTCTTCTGATGTGCTTCTGAGAGGAGTGGGCAGTGCCCCCGCCAGGTGGTGGGTGGTCTGCTCTGGAGAGAGCAGGAGCAATCTGTGCATTAGCAAGGGCTCCCCCAGCGGCTCCCCATCCAGTCTGTGTGGCCCTGTGCCCGGTGAGCCATGGCTATGAGGCCGAGCCCTGGGCACCTTGGGTCCTGGTGACTCACTCACGCCTCCTCCTGTTGTCATTTCTTTCCAGCCGCCACAGAAGGTGCCCAGCACCATGGACGGCCAGCCTCTGGTGGTCTCCAAACAGCAGAGTGAGGTGCTGCGTGGGGTCCCCACCCAGGTGGTGTGCACCGCCTTCAGCAGCCACATCCTGGTGGTGGTGACTCAGTTTGGGAAGATGGGGACCCTGGTGTCCCTGGAGCCCAGTGAGGTGGCCAGTGACATCAGCAAGCCCATGCTTACCACCAGAGTGCTTCTTGGGCAGGATGAGGTAATAGGGCAGGGGGGAGGAGGGGGCTTTCCATGCCTGCCAGTTCAAGGAAATCATGAAGTGAGGGGGGACCAGGTGTGATAGTGTCCCTGGCTGCCAAGCCCAGGTCCTACTCCTGTACAGCCAGGCTCATGGGGCTGGCAGGGACATGCATCCCAAATGAGTGGCTGTGGATGCTGCATTGTGGAAAGGTCGCCAGTGAGCCCAAGCCCCTTCTGCAGGCATCTCTGGCTGAGTCCTGTCCAAGGCGGGGTGGGTTTTCCTTGAAGCCTCAGGGTGGGTGGTTCGTGACTGCTGTGTGTCCAGTGTCTCCTGGAGATCCGAGTCACGGCAGCCTTGCAATTGTCACTGAGTGACTCCATAGCGGTCGGGGTCAGGGACCACGCCGCTCCTGGCCTCTGAGAGGTTTCCTCCCTTCCCTCTCATCCACATTTAGCCTCTCGTCCATGTCTTTGCCAAGAACCTGGTGACGTTCGTGTCTCAAGAAGCCGGGAACCGCGCCGTCCTCCTGGCTTTGGCTGTAAAGGACCGGAGCATGGAGGGCATGAAGGCCCTGCGGGAGGTCATCCGGATGTGCCAGGTGTGGTGAGGGGCCACCACTGCCTGACAGGACCCAGATCAGGCCCAGGCCCCTGGACACGTGAAGACCCCTCCCTCTGCAGTCAGAGCAGGGACCGCCTCGGAAGATGCCCGTGGGCCCAACCAGCATTCTCGGCAGCTCCGCTCTGCATTCCCTGGGGAGGGGCTCCGCTCTACATGTTCTCACCAGGGTCCAAGTTGTCACATAAGAGAATGAAAGGACTGGTCAGGTATGACCTACAGTGCCAGTCATGGGAGGAAACTTTTTTATCAAAAATAAATGTATCTTCCAAAGTATATGTCGTCTTTCTTAACAGTGCTGTGGGGGCCCAGTCCACAGTGGGATTCAATCCCTCATACCTCTCGGCCACAAGAGGCATCCCCCACCTCCCCCCCACTCCCAGGCAGGACAAGACAGACAAGGATTCACACACACCCCAGCAGGACAGTGGGCGACTGTTTTGTGAGCCTCCCACCCCCGGCAAGACCGGGCAGAATGGCTCCTGTGGTTTCCGAGGCTGTAACTGGAAGCAGACCACTCCACCTTCTCCAGGGAGCAGCTGGGAGTTCCAAACCGCTGACCTTGCCGCTAGCAGCCCAATGCACAACCCACGCTGCCACCAGGACTGGAGCGACCCTGCAAAGGGGCTTCAAAAGGCGTGGAGATATTGTGGGATTTGTCCAGCACTTGTGAAGCTTCCTGGTATACACAACGGGCTGGTCCTGGGCCATCCTCAACACCTCTTAGGTTTGAGCTGTGTCCATCCAGCCTGTTGAGGGCCTTCACTGCCCCTCTACTTCACCCAGCATGAAGTCCTCCAGAGACCTGTCTCTCCTGAGCATATGTCCAAGTACATGAGACGAAGGCTTACCATCCTCACCTGCAAGGAGACTTCAAATTGTAACACACCCTCTGCCATCAAGTTGATTCAGGCGGCCTGTGGGCAGAGTGGTTTCCAAGGCTGTGAATCTTAACGGGAGCAGACGGCCTCACCTTTTGCCCTTGCAGTGACTGATGGAGTTGAACTGCCTACCCTGTGGTTAGCAGCCTCTATGTAATCCAGGATGCCCCCTGGGTTCCTGGTTAGGCTGCCACTCAGTTCTGAGTCAGCGACCCCATACCCAATTTCCAAGGCTGTAACTCCCTACAGATGACGAGAGCTTCGACTTCCTCCCACAGAGGGACTGGTGGGTTTGAACGGCCAACCTTGCAATTAGCAGCCCAGCACTTACTCAACAGTGCCAGTAAGGCACCCTGGAACACGAGTTCTCCAAAACCAAGCTCACTGCCATCATTGAGTGATTCCAACTCAGAGCAACCCTATAGGGCAGGTTTTGTGGGTTTCTGAGATTGGAACTCTTCCGTAGAGTTTAAAGACCCAGACCAGGAGAAAGCGGGCCCCACCAGGAGGGCGGCCAGGGCTGCAGAAGCCAAGGGCAGGAGCATCCTCAGCCCACTCAGGGGGCCTCCCCAAGCCCTGGTTCCCCAGGGTCCCACCGCCAGCCTTTGCCCCAGTAGTGCCTGTCCCACCGCCAGAGGGCATGGAGATGGCACGGGGGACACGTGCCACTGGTCCCTTCGTCCAGTCACACAGTGACCTCACTCCATAAAACCCTCCATAGAGCTGTGACCGGACCTCAACAAGCTGTGTGGACGCCCGGGCTGCGCGGCCGGTGTCACTGGGCCTCTCTAAACCACTCTCAGGCTGGCCGGAGGCAGCGTCCATCGGCCACGGGACTGTAGACTGGCTGGCGGGCAGGTGGTTGTGCCCCCGGTTCCAGAGAGCTGGGAGGCCGGTCAGGCTCCGCGCTGAGGACGCTGTGGTCAGATTGCAATCTTGGTGCCCAAAACGTTCTGCGGAACACACGTGGCTCGTGGGGGCTGAACTGCGCCCCCACGGTGGCGAGTCAGAGTCCACTCTAGGGCAGCGCGTTCGCTTCTCTTTGGAGAGTGGGACTGAGAGAGGGAGGGGGAGTGAGAAGAGGGCGTGTCTGGGGGGAAGAGGGCGGAGCCCTGAAGGAGGGGAGGGAGGGGGAGAGAGAAGGGGGAGGGGCAGAGGGAAGAAGGCGGGGCCATGGGAAATCAGGATCCAGCCAATCAATGGCGCCATTCCTGGACCCCAGCCCCTGTCCAGCCCAACGGGTGCCTGTCACTTTTGATGGCGGAGGTCAGTGGGAAGTGATTTCTCCAAAGAGGGGCGTCTCTGACCCAGATGAGAGGAGGAGGAGGGAGACAGGGAGAGACGGGAACCAAACCACTGGGCGGAAAGGGGTGGAGAGACAAGCCTGCGAGGACCCTAGAAACCCCAGCCCCCAAGTAGGGACCCTCGGCCAGCCACCTACCACGTGCCCGTGCACGACTCCTTCCACGTCACCCCTGCCTCCCACGCCTTTCCCTACTCCCCCTTCTCACACACACACACCCCGCCCCCACCCGGTGGGGATGGTGGTCCTCCCACAGCTGGAGAGGCCCAGGCCCAGGCAGACAGGCATCAGTGAGTTGCCACCTCCGCCAGATGCCTGTGCCTCAGCCTCTCCTGGTCTGTGTCTGGTGTCACTGGGTCCCTCAGTCTTGGGGTATCCTGTTGACGGTGGGGAAGGTTTGTTGACTTGGGCTGAGAGGGTCAGTGGAGAGGAGTGGACAGAGGGACCAGGGAGGGTGGGTGCTCCCCTCCTGTGGCAACCTGGGGAGCTAGCTGGCCACTATGAGTGCTCCCCAGGCCGGTGAGAGGGCCAGCAGAGCCAGATGCTCCCACTGGGCAGCACAAGACCCTCCTCTGGTTCCAGGGATCCCTGAGATACTGCTCTCCCCTGAAGAAACAGATGGGTATGTGACCACTATTGTCTGCCCCAGACCCAGGGTGGGGAGACGGCAGGGTGTGGCCAGGCAGGTGAGGCACCCAGCTGGCCTGGCAGCCCCGGCAGGTAAGGCAGGTATGGCCAGGTGGGGAGGAGGGTTCTCAGGGGAGAGGCCAGGGCTTCACTGGAGCCCAGGGTGCTGCGGTGACAGTGCGGCAGGGACACACCACCACCCTCCCCGGCCAGCAGGGGAACCAGAATGATTCCCCCCACCCCCAGCCTAGGCCTCAGTGCGGGAGGGGGGGGGGCAGGAGAGGTGAGAGGTGGGGGTGGGAGTGAGGTGGTATTCCTGTGTGTGTCTGCGTACTCACCCAGGGGTGCCCTGTCCAGATGAGGACGCAGGGTGGGGTTCCTCACATATGACCCTCTGACAAACACGCTTCTCTGCCTGTCAGACCTCAGGACAGGGTCTCCAGTATGGGGAGAACCCTGTCCAAAGCGGCACCCCTGGCCAGCCCCTCCCACAGCACACTCCCAGAGCTGATGGGGGCTGGTACCCGCAGGTCCTGTGCAGACAGTCCCCTCCAACCACTGTGGTGACAGAGGTTTCTAGAAACCATCAGATGTGGGGTGTAGATGGGCAGGATTGGGAAGTGGGGAGGGGGCCACAGGAGGAAGATGGGGCCGGGCAGGCATAGACGGAGCTGCGAGCTGCATCAGCCGGGGGTCTGCAGGACCCTGAGCCCTGGGCCTGCTCCCCACAGTGACCACCTTGGGGAAGAGGAATGGGAGACAGATTGGCTCTGATGTGGCAGGAGCTCCCGCCACCCAATGACAAGAACAGGATCCCGGGAAACAGGCTCAAGGTCATGGGCTCAGTGAGTGACCAGAGCCAAAGTCCAGCTTGGCTCTGTGGCCCAGAGCCCTGCCTGCTACCCACCCAGCTCTGACTCCATGCTGGCCAGCGCATGTCCTCTCCAGCGTGGCCACCGGTGGGCAGCACCACCCCTCTGGTCGGGCTGCTGGTGCTAGGGGAGGAGGCTGGACCAAGCTGAGGGCCCCAAGGACTGATGTCCTGGGACTGGCCAGGCAGGGGACAGAGCCAGGTTCCCAGGGAGCCTGTGGATGTGGGCAGAGGCCAGATGTGGGGATGAGCTGTCTTCCCTCCATCTGCTGCTGTGGGCAGTGCCCATCTGGGCCGCTCCCCAGACCCCACCGGGTAGGTGGAGCAAAAGGGGGTTCCCTAACTTCTCAGACATGGCTTGAGGACAATCTCTGCACCACCACCCACAAAGGTGGGCTCTGGTGCCCTGGTGAGGTGCACAGCACCCACCGGACAGCTTTCTATGGGACTGACAGTGCGAATCCACACCAGGGTGGTGCGGAAGAAAGCTCTGGAAAAGCCCCCTCCAACCAGGGGCTCAGGGTGGTTGGCATCACAGCAGGGTCCAGAGTCTAGGGCATGATGCTGTGGGGGGCGTGGTTCCCTCCACCCACCTTGAGCCTGGTGGGAGTGGGGGTGGGCAGAGGAGTGAGAAAAGGCCCCTGGGGGAGGCAGAGGATGCAGAATGGGCAGCTAGCTCTGGTCACCCGGGCCCTGCAGCCCTGTCCCCACAGTCCAGCTACTGTCCCCTAACTCAGGGCCTGCCCCCCACGCAGGGCCCCAGCAGACCATGGCTCCTGTCTGTCCCCCATACTGGGTCCACGAGGTACTCCCATGCACATATAGAGGCGTCAGGTAGATTAGTGGCCACTGCACAGCAGGCTGGTGAAGGGTCTGGCAGGTGAGGGTCCCCATGGGTGAGGATCCTGGCAGGTGAGGGGCTCAGCAGGTGAGGGTCACAGCAGGTGAAGGTCTCAACAGGTAAAGGGTCTTTGGCACCTGGCTAAGGGGGTGTCAGGGTTCCTTTCCCTTCTGCCCTCCCAGACTCTCCCTGTTGCAGGGACACGGAGCAGGAGGGGGTCCGGCTGCAGGTTGGACAGAGCCTGTGAGGCTGGGCAGCTCAGGGGCAGATAGGCAGGGCCAACCTGGGGTGAGGGCATCGGTGGAACTTGCTGGGCTGGCTCCCGCTTTCCCCACCCACATAGTGAGTTCTCCGAGGCACCTGCCGGTTGCTGGGACCTGCCAGGAGCCAGCCGTCACCTGGGCCACAGTCAACAAGAGTCAGAGCCTGGTCCAGGTGGGTGGGGCTGGTCTGCTGGGGTCAGCCCAGCTGGCAGCCACCTCCCCTGAGCTGGCAAGGGTCGTGGCAGGGTCCAGGATAGAGGCCACGCCTGGCCGGGCAGGGTCCCCGGGGGCCAAGCCCTGTGTCCTTTGGGCTAGACCTTTGTCCATTGTGCCTGACTGGCTCCCCTGTCAGGGCCGGGCCAGCCGGGCAGGGCCACACCCAGGGGTCTCCCAGGGGAGGACCTGGGACACCAGGGACCCCCATCTCCATACCTTCCCATCTGACCTGCTCAAGAGACATATGGGAGCCACAGGGCTAGGGCCCAGTGACACCCCCCAGAGCCCCCTTCTCCATGGGGTCTGGGACCTGGTACAGGGGACAGGGTTGCCCACCTAGCCAGTGTCCATATCGGGGCCCCCGAGGAGGGTAGGAAGCAGCTGCCTGGAAGAGGCACAGGCCTGTCACCCATAGGGGTGGGGGTACAGCCCAGGCTGGGGGCACTCAGTCTTCATCTGGCCCTGCCCCTGCCCCTGCTGAAGCCGGAAGAGGAGCCCGTAGGTGTGTGTGGGGTGAGGGGCGGGAGGGGACTGGGGCACCCCCGGCCCCTCAGTGACCATCTCAGAGGGCAGCTGGGGGGAGATGCCGGGAGCGGGGGTGAGAAAGGGGTGGTTGCCATGACGACACAAACAGTGCCGGTCTGGGGGTGAGGCTGGGGCCACCCTGCTAGCCCCGGGACCTTGAGCAGGGTGGGAGGGCCCGCAGCACAAGGAGAAGACCCCTCAGAAGGTGGGGACCATGGCCCCCCGCCCCACCTGTTGAGGTGTCCCTTCCCCCCACTGTGCAGAGGGCATGGAGGCTGTCAAGGGGGGGGCCGGTTGGTGAGGGAGTTCCTGGAACGTTTCCATGGGGCAGTGGGGCCAGGGAAGTGACGCCCAGCTGATCTGAGGGAGAAGGAGGCAGCTTTGGAGAGAGTGGGGACAGGGCTTCCAGCCAAGGACAGGCCGTCCTCAGAGGAGTGCCGGCTCCAGGGACCTGGGCGGGCCCGGAGGGCTTGGCTCCAGCAGGCTGGTGTCCCTGAGGCCACATGGCCGTGGGGACAAGGGCCCGTGGGCTGCGTCCTCTTTGCCATAGCTGCAGGGAGGCTGGGCACACTGGGGAGCATCCCCACAATGGGGTTTCCACCTGTCACTAGGGAGCAGGCCTTCCAGCCGAGACCCCCTGGGTGGAGACCCCTGGGTCAGTGCTTGGGGACAGGTCTGTCACAGGCAGAGCTGGCCCTTGATGTCTGTGCCTACACTGCCCTTGTGGCTGGGCTCTGGGGGCAGAGATGTCTGCAGAGGCCTGGGGTCCCAGGTCTGACAGACAGTTTGTCAACCCAGCATGGAGGCCCTGCCCCTACGGCCAGACCCCAGTCAAGCTCAGCACCTGTCCGCCCATCTCCCACCCCACTGGGCAGTATCCCTGCAGCCTAGGCACCTGCCCTTGCCCAAAACGAGAACAGGGCTCTCATGCCTCTGTCGGGTCCTGAGCTCTGGTTGCTCTGTAACAAGGGGCCTCCACACAAGAGAAGCAACCGCTCAGCTGTCGATTTAAAAGCTGGGCTGGGAGGGAGCTTCCAGCACAAACTCACCACCGCAGCTTTGCAACATTAGTTCCTGTGGCCCCTCCCTGCTGCCTGCTCTCCTGCCCGCCCCTCCTCCCCAGCTCCAGCTCGGCAGGGGTGCTGGGCAGGCACCCAGGCCCATGAATGAGCAGTCACAATCTGACCGTCCTCCCCACTCGGCCCACTTCCACGTGTTGTCTTCACGGCCAAGAGACCCCACCTACCATTCCAGATCCCCCTCAGGCCCCCAGCTTGGGGCCAGGAACTGAGTAAGCCTCCCCCCATCCCACCCCCAGCCCCCCGTCCCCCGCCCTCGTCCCCACACCTGTCTCTGAGGCCCGGGCAGCAGCTGCCTGGGAGTCTGGCCCAGGTGAGAACACCTGAAGACCAGCTGGTTCCTGGGAGCCAGCTGCCTCCAAGCAGGCTGCCAGGAGGGATAGAGTGTTCACAAGGGAGGGGCCTGGCTCCCGAGACCCCGCCTTCTCCTGGGCCCTCCCCTTGGCCCAGCAATACCACGGAGCACAGGTGGGCTTTGCAGGAGGTAGGGTGGCCTAAGCCCCGCCTCAGGCCTGATAGGAGCCCCACCCCCAGAAGGTGGGGAGCAGCAGCGGTGAGCCACGTGGCCAGTGAATGCCCAGTCAACCTCCCCGGGAGGCCTGGCCTCACCAGAGAGCTTCCTGCCCGTGGAGGTAGGTGCAGCCCTGGATGGCACAGGGAGGAAGGAGGCCGGACTGGGCTGAGTCTGGGAGCAGGACGTGGTGAGTGAGCGCCAAGGACAGGTGGCCCGGGGCTGGCCAGGCAGCAGACCCAGACTCCCAGGGAGCTATGGGGGAGGCGTAGACTAGACACGAGGGTGGGCTGGCTTCTATCTGTCTGCTGCTGTGGGCCGTGACCATCCGGGCCACTCCCCGGACCCTGCGGGGCGGGCAGAGCACGAGGACCATATCTGGCCCCTCAAAAGTTGCCTCTGGGTCCCTGGGCGGTGTGCACGCAGCGCTGGGCGGCTCACAGCAAGGCTGGCAGAGAGACTCCACACTGAGGTGTCATGGACGAAAGCCCTGGGCCTCCACAAGCGGCATGAGGAGCGTCCGGAGATGAGGGAAAGCTAAGGCAGGGACCACAGGCCCTGGGAAGGGAAGGGGGCGCCCAGGGCTGGGCTGTGGAGTTGGGGTCCCTGTAGGCTGGGCCCCTCCCCTGCTCCCCGTGAAGGTTGCCTAGGAGTCAGAGGGGCTGGATTGGTCAGACTCAAATGCCCATGGAAGGGGGTGTCCAGGGTCTGTGGACAGGGACCTAGGCAGAGACTCCACCCCCTACCAGGCCGAGGACCCATCTGCCAGGCGTGCCTGCCCCTTCTATCTCTGCCTCTCCCTCCGCCCTGGTCCCCCCTCCCCCTCTCCCTGGCTGCTTCCTGCTGCAGACTGCACCTTGGCCCTCTGCAGATGAGCAACGCCTCCGTCCTGGGCACGGCTGTCACCCTGGCATCGTCCACCTGGCCACAGCCCAGTATCCCACTGGCCACGCCTGCTGGGCCACACATGGACCCCATAGGAAACAGCTCCCAGGGGGGCCCCAAGCTCTTCCTGACCACCCCGCTGGCCCGAGGCATCTCGGGCATCTTTGTGTGGGCCGCCCTGGCACTCACCTGCCACCAGGTAAGCTGCCCTACCTGGAGACACCTGGAGGCTCAGCTCAGAGGAGGGGGCCTTCTCGGAAGCATGGGGCCTGAGTGGGGAGGGGTCTGTGGGCACTTGTGCCCATTTCACTGATGGGAACCTGGGAGGGGCCCTGGAAGCCGGGGGCACTGCAGCCCACGTGGTCAGCAGAACAGAGCCTTTTCTCTGCAGGGACACTGCGCCCTTGCAGAGCCTGGGCCCCCTCAGTGGTGAGCAGGGCCCCTGTTTGGCTCCAGCAGGCTTGAACCTCTCTCAGTCCCAGCCCTGGAGTGGCCTCCAAGTGGCATCTGAGGGCCAAGTGGCATCAACAAAGGTGGAAGGAGTAACTGCCCACATGGGGGAGAGTGGGATGGACAGATGGTGCTGGCCATGGGCAGCAGGAGGCTGGGGTTACACTCAGATACCCTCAGTAACAGTCTCCTGCTGCTGGGTGCCGCAAACCACCTGAATACGGGGGCAACACCACAGCGCAGAAAGGGGCAGACGGCGGGACAGCCCTTCCTGGTGGACCGAGTCCTGCCCTGCCACCCTGAAACGTCTCACAGGTCAGCCTGCAAGGCGGGTGGCCAGTGCATCTGTGTTTGCAGGGGACGCAGGCTGTTGCTGGGGAGGCGGTGGTCCGGGGCTGGTGCAGACTTAGGTGTAGAGGAAGAGTGCAGGGTGGACCAGCACCCTGGTAGAGCCCCTGTTAAGCAATCAGCTACTCACTGAAGGGTCAGGGGTCAGACCACAGCAGCTCCTTGAAAGACAGCAGCCTGGAAACGTCCCCTCCTGGGGTCTCCTGGAGTGTGTCTAAGGCAGTAGGGAGGGGGCTCGGTCTCTCCAAGTGTTTAGCACTGACTTCTGAAGTTCTGGGGGCCAGCTGTGTGTGTGTGTGTGTGTGTGTGTGTGTCCCGCTTCCTGCCCAGTATGGAGAGGGCTAATGGGAGACCCTCTGGGCTTGTGTGTGTGTGTGTGTGTGTGTGCACATGCACAGGTGTGTGTGGCCCGCTTCCTGCCCAGTATGGAGAGGGCTAACGGGAGACCCTCTGGGCTTCAGATCCTCCCCTCCAGCCCCTCCCACCCCCACCTCCATCCACTGCCAGCCCCCCCCATGGGGTACGCAGCTCCTGACTCAGCACCCAGTTAGAGCCAAAAGGAATGGCAAAAGCCAAACCCAACCCGCTGGGGACGAGTGGGTGCCACTCACAGTGACCTCCAGGATGACTGCCCTGGGGTCTCTGAGGCTGTAACTCTTCATGAGAGCAGACAGCCTCGGCTTCTCCTGGGGAGCAGCTGGCTGCACTGAACCGCCGACCCTGTGGGAACCCGCTCCACCACCAGGGCTCTGAAACGGGACAGAGAGGCCCAGACCTGCCCAGTCTGGAGAGCGCAGTGGCAGACAAGGTCGCCCAGCTGGGCAGAGCCAGCCCAGGTCTGTCTGCTGACTCGGTCACCCTGCACCACCCCCCACACCAGGTGGCCAGGAGTAGGCACTGATAAGAAGTCACCGGTGCCCCCACTTGGTGCCTAGGCGGCAGGGTACACACAGCATGCCCACCTCCCCAAGAAAGCCTTCCTTCCACGTGCCCCACTTCCTCTTAGAGAGCTGACTTGGTGGAAAGGCTTCCAGGGCACAGGGCAGGACTGCGCTGTGGGTTTCCTTCCAAGGCTGAAAGTCTTTCTCCCAAGGAGCAGCTGGTGGTTTCAAACTGCTGACCTTGCGACTGCAGCCCGACGTGTAGGGCGGGGCGCCCCCCACCCACCAGGACTCCTGGATGTATTTATAGCACATGCAAATGTGTATGCAAAGCTGCCCCCCACCCTGCTTTCTCTAACATGTCCGGAGTCATCCCACTCACCTCCCACACCCCCTGGGCTTGCAGTCTGCCGTGTCTGCTCGCAGGTCAGGTGTGCTTTCCTGGGAACGCAGCAGCGCCCACCTGCCTTACCTATGGCTCACCCGCACCTGCCCCACCTCCCTTGCCTTGGCTCATCACTGCTTTGTTCCCTCATGGTACCTTGCCCTTCGAATCCATCTGTTACCTAAAACGCCGAATGAAAAAGGTCTCCTTTGGGCTGGTTCTGACCTCGGGGCCCTGGAGCCCTGCCTGTGTGGCTGTGGGGACAGCCTTGCACA